CCCTAAACGCTCAACCCTAAACCCTGTCTCCTTGTAGTCCAGGTAGGCTTCTACCGACATACTTAGGGAACTGTGGGTTGGGGCTGGGGTTTGGGGTTTGAGTTTGATGTTCAGGGGTATAGGATTTAGGGTTTAAGGTTGAGTTTGATGTTCGGGTATCGGGCATTTTGGGTTGAAGATTCGGGGTAGAATGCACATAAGGACTCTAGCTTTAATTTCGGGGTGTACAACTCCAGAGGTCAATTTGAGTCCAAGTTTGGGCAGGACATGATTTCTTAGTTCCTCGGCCTTATACCTCAATTCCTGAACCGTAAGCCACTTGGCCGTAACGGCCCTACGCCCTAAACCCCAGACGCCGGCATTCCTGACTGTTGAGATAGTTTGCACAGGGAAGCTAGGTTCACAGTTGGACTTGTTGTTTAAGCTTCCGGCTTTTGGAGATAAGGCTTAGGGTTAAGGGTTACGGGTTTTAGTTCGGATTTAGGATGGCTGGCAAGGCTTCAGGGGGTTCACCCTAAACCCTAAACCAAAACAAGTGCTAAAAGCTGGAAGGCTTGAGGCCGTATCAGCCCAGGACCAGCTCGGCTAAAAAGCCCAACAGACAGACCCCAAGGCTAGCCTCTAATATACTACTTTTTTTTTTTTTTTTTNNTTGGGGGGGGGTCCTGATTATAGTTATGGTAGAATATACCAAAACCCTATTCTTATTATGAAGGTCCCTACATTAAGGTATATCAGGCTTGAGGGCTTAGTGTAGTTTTAAGTAGGGCTTGGTTTAGGGTTTAGGGTTTAAGGGTTTCGGGTTTAGGATTTTAGGGTTTAGGGTTTAGGGTTTAGGGTTTAGGGTTTTAGGGTTTAGGTAGGATAATTACAGCTTTTACCTGTAGTAGGGGGACTGATAATCCCACGTGTAGCTACCCATGAACCTCCAAGCATTCATCCTAAAGTATCTATATAGGACCCGTTTCTTTGGACCGTCCTGTCCACTGCTATATATAAAAGTTTCGAGCCATCATCGCCGTCACCATGATTACAACCAGCAGCTTGCATGAACAACGACATATGTGATTGTAGTACAAGCTGGCAGGAAACAGTAGCGGCGATTGCGATTACCCTAGCAGCGAGGCTGTGGTACCACTGGCGGTTTTCTCGACACCAGAACAATAACCCAAGATTAATTAAGCGCTGAACCCCCTTAAAAACCTAAACCCTAAACACTTCCTGCATCCCAACGCCTTCGTCTTTCTCCCACAAGCCTCGACCCTAAACCCTAAAGCCCAACGAAACGCCTCTGCCGTGAGGAGCACTTCGGCTCACTCCAGAGAGCAATCATCACCTTGATACAGCCGCTGGGATCCTTTTGACTTAGTGTTGTAGCATAGTAGACCAGCACACACTGTAAAACCCCTTTTGGGTGTAGGCACATGCGTGAACATGCATATGTACATAATTAGTATAACATGTATGTCTATTTATTATATGTGTATATATAGATATATATGTGTATGCAGATATACGGAGATATATATATATATATATGCAGACAGACATTTGTTTATTTGTTTACATATAGAAACATATGTGTGCATATATACATAGCAGAACTCTTCGGTGAAAAACAAGAAGAATATACTTGGCGTCCGGGAGGATTTTTTCGGGTTCGAGGTTTTGGGATTCGGGCTCGTCGTTTTGGGTTTCAGATTTCACTGTCAGGGGTTCGACTTTCTAGGGGGTTGGGTTTGGGATTTCCTTCGAGCAATCAATCAATCAAGCTTTAGAAGTTCCTGAGCCCAAAATCCCGAAGCCTTAAACCCTCCTCTGCCTAGGGTTTAAGGTTTAGGGGAGAACGCCACTCCAGAGCCTAGCATACATTTTTACAACAGCCCCGGTTTATATTCGCGAGAAGGCAAGAAAACAACGTGCTGTTATGTCCGCAAATTCGTTGCCCACAAATCCGCAAGAGGCGCGAACATGTGGGCACGACGGGCTTCTTATACGATATGCCGGCAGTGGTTGTGGCGAGTGCTCGGAATCAACATTCCGTTGAACAACTTTATGGAAGGCGGAGTTAATTTTAGCAGGGACTCCCAAGGAGAACTGCTGATTCGGAGCAGCCCTATTGCCAGCCCTGCTTGGAGGTACAGGGTCTTACATTTAAAACCCGACTATAACTGTAAATAGAATGCAGTTACCTTAGATCCGAGGCAACAACCCTAAACCCTAAACCCTAAACCCTAAACCCAATGCAGTTACCTTAGATCCGAGGCAACAATAAAGCCTGGACCCTGAGTCCCAAAGCATTAACCCTACCAACTACAGAGGCCGGAACAAGTAGGGTTTAGGGTTTAGGGTTTAGGGTTTAGGGTTTATAGTGTACCACAAAACCCTATCCCAAGTAGTAAGGCCTCTATATCAGCTAGGTTAGAGGGTTCCAGGTAACGAAGCTCGGCAACTGCAAAGGCTTGGGGATTTACAAGTCCTCAGGGTTTAGAGTTTAGTGCCTGTTCCTAAACTCAAGGTAGAGCCAGTCAGGTCGTTTTTCTAGCCTTAGGTTCGTGACTTTGGGACTCGTCTATCGCAGCGAATCTAATCCTAAACCCCTAAACCCACAACCCTAGCTACGCCCAAGGTTCGTCACTTTGGACTCTATCGCGGCAATCTACTATCCGCTGGTCCAAGCGAAGCCCTATCTGCTTCTCGGAGAGATAAATCCTGCATTACCTTAAGGCATTCGACAGGGATGTCCATTAAGCCCGTGCCCTTTTGTAATCGTGCTGACAGTCATTTTTCATGACGTCGACGAGGACCTCTTGAAGCAGTGAACGGCTACTAACACGTGGTCACCCTAATGGCCCACGCACGATCTGGAATGTGCAGATGATACCCTCCTATTGGCCAATAACCGCGGAATATGGAATGAATCTGAACTCAGAAAACAACAGAAGCGCTCACCGCTCACCCATCCCAACCACCCTGAATCGAGTCTTTGCTTCAGGGACGGGTCTCCCGTCCGGACCACACCGCAGGTAAAAAATATCTTGGCAGTATGATTACCCCTTCGACGACGTACTTGGAAGTTCATGGGTAGTTTCTTATAGAACCCCCTTATGGATCCCTCAAAGGAGCCATATAACTACCCATGAACCTCCAAGTAACCTTTAAGAACCGGGCTGCATTAGCAGAAGAGGCCCCAGAAAGCCAAGGATGGTTTGGCCTTAAGATGCCCCACCAAGGTTCGCATCTTCCAAAGGGGTGTAGGGTTTAGGGTTTCATCTTCATGCCGGTCCTAATTTACGGGTTGGATGGCATCACTCTGACAGAAAAACAACTACAAAGAATCGACGCTGACTATTATAATTAGACTTCTTTGCCACAGCATAGGCATAAAGGCTTCCTATCATTCCAGAACAGCCAAAAAGTCAGTAGGGGAACAGGCCCACAAACCACACCGGCCCTCTGAACCCGTCCATAAACCCAGCACAGAGTCATGAAGGAGATTTACAACAGATCCAGCGTGCGCTGTTCTTGCCATAAAGATAGAATATTGTATCAGGGACGACGCAGGGGTATGCAATTTCCGTATTGGATAGAAGTTACAACCAGGCGCTACTACCCAGGTCTCTTGGAATACAACGCCCGGAACCCACATGAAGTCTACTTGAAGATAGCCCGGGAGCTGTGAAAGCCTCTCGAGAAGGGGCCAAAGTGCGCGCGAAGTCGTGCGCGCACCGGGCTCTCGCAAAAAACCTAAAAAAAGCGAATTGAGCGACAAAAAGAGGCTGAGCCTGAAAGCTAGCAGAACCCTAAATTGGAGTTTAGGATTTAGTTCGTGTCCTTGCAACTAAAGTCGCTGTCCCAGAGCCAGTGTCCTCGCTTTCTGATGCAATGTCTAGGTTTAGGGTTGTTCAGGGTCTAGGGTTTCGAGTTTACTTGTTCATTGACGGTAAGATGCATTCAAGTTCGCGATGCTTTCTCAGGGGCTTTCGTTTAAAAGTGCTGGGTCGATGTTACTAACCTTGGGTACGAGGCCCAGAGTCTAAGCCTGCCACGAACACACAGAAACCCTCTTCTGTTCGAGTGGCTGGTGAATGCAATATAGCGACCTCAATGATCAGAACATGGTTTTCGGTGTATACCCTATGGAATAAT